ACCCGGGCGTGGCATGTTCCCACTTCGGGGCACTCGCGCATCGACCCCGCGGAAAGGAAGTGCAGCAGAGGGGTGGGGTCCAGGACCCTGGTCGAGCCTCTTCTCGCGACGTCGGATCTCAGCGGAGGAGGAGGAGGAGGAGGACGAGGAGGCAGGAGGAAGAAGAGGAGATGGGGAAGGAGGACAAGGACGCGGATGGTGTCGGCGGCCTGTTTACAACGATGGCAGGGGTGACCTGGGCTCTGTGGGAGGAGGAGGAGGAGGAGGAGGAGGAGGAGGAGGAGGGGAAGATGGACCAGGAACAGCAGGAATATGCGGAGCAAGAGGGAGAGAAGGGACGAATCGCAGATCATCACGCCCAATACCACAGTGCGGATGCAACCGTGCAACCCTACGGATCGCTGAGGAATCAAAACAAATCATACCGATACTCCGCGGACCTCTCCTGGGGTGCGGTCTGACCAGAGTTTCGAAGCGAATCCAGCGGTGGCGACGAGGGCCTCCCAGGAGGCCCCAAAGAGGGGAACGCGAGGGACAGGTAGCGGTATGGGTACTTGTTTCCCCTCTTAATCTCAGGGTCCCCTGAGATCCGAAGTATCGAAAACATTGCAACACCTTACAGAATCACGCGCGGAGCCCTGGACCCCATCGTTCTGCGCTAGTATTCGAGCCCGATCGATCTGTGAGCGCCCCGGGCCCGACATCGAGCAAGTAAACGCCCGATGCGAAACAATTGAGACAACAGGATCTCAGGGTCCGCCTCCAGATCTCACTGCACCGACCTTGCAGACCCTGGACCGGCGAGTGAACAACGAAGTGAATTTCGCGTGGATTTGGGGGTCTCATCATTCCTGGCCAAAACAATCCCGCAGGACATTCACCTCGAAATCCAGAACGAATTTATCCAGGACGCTCTGGGCCCACCCGATCGTTCTCCGAACGAAATTCGCTCTGCGATGTTGGCGCAATGACAAATCTCCTCCTTGGTCAATCCAGACCCTGGTCAATCAGGCCTTTCAGAATCCTGCAAGATCCTGCAAGACCTTGCACCCGAACCTTGGTCAGTGCGAACGATCATGCAGGATCCTGCACCCAAGCCAGGGTCAATGCGACCCTGCATTGACCTGGGCTTGGGTGCAGGATCCTGCAAGACCCGGCGCTCTGGCTGACCCCCCGTTTGCATTGACCCCCGTTCGGGGATGGACAGGACCCCCGTCAGTAAAACGCGGTTCAGTGAGGCCGACCTCGGGCCCAAACCCGGCGGGCGCAAGCCTGGAAGAGGACGGCGGCGGCGCCCTCTCGAGAACCGAAAACGGACAATTCACTAATCGACGTGTCAGGGAGGGGGTCGACGGGTCAATGCGACCCTGGCCCTGCAGGATCCTGCAAGACCCGGCGCTCTGGATGACCCCCTGTTTGCATTGACCCCCGCCTCAAGGCTCCCGATCAGAGCGCGGCCCCAGGAGTCCCGGCCCTTCCCCAGATTGGAACAGAGGAGGAGGAGTAGGAGGAGGAGGAGGAGGAGGAGGAGGAGGAGGGGGAGGAGGGGGAGGAGGAAAGAGGACGACGAGGAGGAGGGGAGGAGGAGGAGGAGGAGGAGGAGCAGGAGGAAAAGGAGGAGGAGGAGGAGGAGGAGGAGGGTCGTCTCGAGGCTCCCGACAGATCTCCTCCTCGCCAGCAGCTGCCTCTGGTCGGAGCAGGGCCCCCTCGAGCCGGTGGCGCCCTCTCGCCGTCGGCGCCTGGAGCCTCCCGGGGCCTCCGCCGGCTCCCCCTCGAGCAACCGCGCGGGCCAGGAAGGAGCGAAAAAGGATTGGCGGCGCGCACGAGGGGAGAGGAGGAGGGAGGAGGGAGGAAAAGGGAGGAAGGAGGAGGAATGAGGGAGGAGGGAGGAGGGAGGAGGGAGGAGGGAGGAGGGAGGAGGGAGGAGGGAGGAGGGAGGAGGGAGGAGGGAGGAGGAGGAGGGAGGAGGGAGGAGGGAGGAGGGAGGAGGAGGAGGAGGAGGAGGAGGAGGAGGGAGGAGGAGGAGGAGGAGGAGGAGGAGGAGGAGAGAGGAGGAGGAGGAGGAGGGAGGAGGAGGGAGGGAGGAGGAGGGAGGATGGAGGATGGAGGGAGGAGGAGGGAGGAGGGAGGAGGAGGGAGGAGGGAGGAGGGAGGGAGGGAGGAGGGAGGAGGGAGGAGGGAGGAGGGAGGAGGGAGGGGGAGGAGGGAGGAGGAGGAGGAGGAGGAGGAGGAGGAGGAGGAGGAGGAGGAGGAGGAGGAGGGTAGGAGGAGGGAGGAGGAGGAGGAGGAGGAGGAGGGCTTCTTAGAAGGAGGCTGCTTCTTAGAAGGCGCCAGACTCACATTTACAGATCAGGCCCGCGCCTGCTACGAAGCAGGGGTGCCTCTAAGAAGCCCTCCCCCCCTCCCCCATATACCCTTTGCGCGTGGCAGAGAGGAGGAGGAGGAGGAGGAGGAGGAGGAGGAGGAGGAGGAGGAGGAGGAGGAGGAGGAGGAGGAGGAGGAGGAGGAGGGAGGAGGAGGAGGAGGAGGAGGAGGAGGAGGAGTCATGGGCAACGACTTTGCTCGTGAACTCGCCAGCCCAGAGCCCTAGCGGGCCCGAGGCAACACGGTGCCAGGCCTCGGCTCGCCCTGCCCCTCTTGGGTGTCGGGACCCCGTTCCTGCCCTGGCAGGCTCCCGGGTTCACCGCATGCTTCGCGTGCTCTCTTTCGCTTTCGCTCTGGCCTTGTCCTGTCTCGTGTTCCCTTTCCTGGCGGGTGTCGCTTCGTGCACTTCATCCTGACTCCAAGTCCAAAAAGGAGGAGGAGGAGAGGGGGAGGGGGAAGGGGAGGAGGAGAAGAAGGAGGAGGAAGAGGAGGAGGAGGCTCCCTGGCAGGTTCACACTGTTAGAGGGAAGAGAACGGTCCACATATACCGTCTGTGGCAAGGCCGGGCCCATCCTGAGCGCCCAGGATCGGTGCATACGGCTCCCGAATTTGGCCAGGAAGGCATATGCACTGATGGGCCTGTTTTCCACCACCACCACCTTACGTTGGAAGTGGAGGTGGTCCAGGCGGCAGCTCCAGGCGGGCCTCCCTGGCATGTCTTGAGAGCGGCGCAAAGACGAGGACCAAATCGGTGAGGATAGACCGAGAATCTCTGAATTCCGGCGGCTCTGATGAAGGATGTCTCGGGCGCCGCGGTCTGCTCAGAGGGGGGGTAACCCGCGGCTCCCGACACGCGAGAGCTTAGAAGAGGCGAGAACTGCACGCGCAGGATGTTTCTTTTGCTCCGACCTGCCGGCGCCCACTTTGCCCGCCCGCCAAACGGGCGGCGACTGGGGGCTCAGTTGCGCGGCCGCGGTGTCGGCCCTGGCGTTGCGACGAAGGACTGAGCATCGTTCCACCGACCCCCCTCCCCGCCAGCGTGGCCCGGGCCCATTGGCCGATTCGCCCCCCCGGATGGGGATGCAGACTGCTCTCTCCTCGGGCTTCGGGGAGCACGCCCCCGACTGAGGTGGTGAGACGGTGGGGCTCGCGATGTGGATCGGGATGGGGAGGGGGGTCGGTTACGCGACACTGACCCAGGCATGCGACGGCCTGATTTGGACGGCGTCCCTGGAAGTCCCGACCCTTTCCCCGCAACCCGCTTCTCGCCCTGAGTCGTTTTCGTTGACGGCCCCCAGGCCCGGCGAGGGCCCCCTGGGGCCGAAGATAGCCCAAAGCCTGCCGTCCTGATTTGTTCTACGACGCGATCATGTCTGGGTCATCGATACCAAGAGACGTCGCGCCCGGCGACCTCCTGTGCGGCGCCGGCCATGGTGCACGGCGAAGGGGCCGGCGGGGGGGAGGCGCCCGGCGGCCGTCGCGGCGGCCGCCAGTGGGCCCCCCTCGTGCCCCCGGGTGCGGCAGCGACAGCGACGGGAGGTCGAGCCGAGCAGAACTCGCTGATAGACGAGCGCGTTCCACGGCTCGCAAAGTTCAGAGGCGACGATAGGGGCGAATAGCCCAGGGGGGAGCAATGCATGTATCCAGGGGCGCCGATGACCTATGTCTTCGACGAGGCTCCCGTGCGAATGCGTGTAATGCCCGCCCCTGGGCTATTCGCCCTTATCATCGCCGCCGAAAGGTAAATGATCGCAAACGGCCTGGACCCGCCGCGGGGGATCTACGATGAACGGCGCCAAAGCAGACGTGTGTGTTCTTTTGTCGGACGTTTGCGAGCAGGCACTTTGCGAGCAGCGGCACGCGCTCGGCGAACTAAAGGAAGCAGAAGGGGGCACAGCTCGAGGTCAACCAAACCAAGCAGGGAGAGAGAGAGAGAGAGAGAGAAAAAGAAACAACACATTAAAAAAGACGGAGGCACATATACATGAAGCCTCCTCGACGTCCACAAAGTTTGGAGGTCGGAAGGGTTGTGGCATAAAAAGGGGTATGGTGCCAATCGTGGAAACTGGCGATGCTGTCTGCGATAGATAGCATCGCAATATTCCTCTTCGCATAAAATCAGCACGATACCCCATTACGCCATACCCCTTTCGGACCTCCAGATAAAAGAGCGCTGGGGGGGGCAACAAGCGGGTAGCCGTCCCCAGGAGAGCAGGACAAGTCGTGGGCAAGCTGGGCCCACGGGACCACCCGACCCGCGCCGTACACGGTCGCAAGAGGCGACATGTCTGCCGAACTGACCTCTGGCTGGGGACGGTGGTCTGCAACAACTCAAAGGACGGCGCGGCAACGCGCGCGAGACAGTCTCCATCACGAGCTCATGCCTCCTCCCCTGCCGCATCATCCACAACCACAAGCCCCAACGCCGCCTCCGCCTCCCTCTCCTGCTGGGGATCTCGCGGCCGAGGGATGATTACCTGCAGCTGGCGAGACCCAGCAGCAAACCAGGTCGAGTTGGCTAGCGCCCCCACTGGTGCACCGCAGCACCGCGGGGCGGAGGCGGAGCGAGGAAGGAGGAGGAGGAGGAGGGGGAGGAGGAGGAGAAGGACCATGCGCCCCGAGGCTTCGAAGCTGCTCTACGGCGCAGATCCGACCAGGCTCTCGATATCCAGCGTGTCCTGCCGGCCCCAGTTCGTGATCGTGCACCACGGCGGGGGCACGGAGGTTGGCGGCGGGGCGCCCAGCTGCGCCATCTGACTCTGCAACATCCAGGGAGCGTTTTGGCTCACCTGGCCCGTCATCTGCAGCAGCTGCTGCACCAACTGATTGTCGAATAGCGGCTGTTGGACCGTAACATGCACCAACGGGCCCGTCTGCGTCCCCATCCCAGCGGGCATCTGCGACAAGAACGGCTGCTGGACCGAAACATGCACCAACGGGCCCGACTGCTGCCCCATCCAAGCGGGCTTGTACGACTGCGGTTGCTGTGGCTGTTGGATCGTCAACTCCACGTGCTGCTGCTGCTGCGGCTGCGGCTGCTGCTGCAGCTGCACCACCTGCCATGGCTGCGGCTGCGCCTGTTGCTGATGCCACTGCGGCTGCTGCTGCATCCGCTGCTCCTGCACGTGCTGCATCTGCGGATGCACGTGCTGCTCCTGCATGTGCCGCGCCTGTCGGGCCGGGCGAAAGGGGGGGATAGCAAAGGGGGGGGTTGAGAATCGGCTCACGTTGCTGATTTCCCGGCGTCTCCCGGCGCCAGAGGCGGCTATGTATCCAGGAATGGGCCCCTCGGTGGGGCCGAAACCAGCTGCGTGCAGCAGATTTCGTGGCCCCCCCTCTCCCCATCCCCCCCCTTTCGTCCGGCCCAAACCTGCTGCTCCTGCCGCCGCTGCTCCTGGTGGTGGGCCTGTTTTCCACCACCACCACCACCACTATATGTTGGAGTGGGAGGGTGTCCTCCTCCTCCTCCTCCAACGCCTCCTCCTCCTCCTCCTCCTCCTCCACCTCCTCCTTCTGTTCGTCCTCCTCCTCGTCGTCGTCCTCCTCCTTCCCCCCCTCCAACTTATGGTGGTGGTGGTGGTAGAAAACAGGCCCATCACCTGGATGTGCTGCTGCATGTCGTGCTGCTGCCCCAGCTGCTGGACCACCTCCGTGGCGCTCCTCGCCTGGGCCCTCGTCGCCCCGGCCTGCCCGGGATCCTCGCCGCCCGCGGGCGCGCCGTGCCCGCCGAGGCGGCACAGCGCCTCGAGCGCCCTGGTCTTGACGTACAGCGACGCCAGGAGCGCGGTGGCCGGGTTCTCCCACGTGGTCTCCTGGAGCAGGGGCCGACCCCTCCGGCACTCCTACAGCCTCAAGGCGGGCGTGTCCCCCATACAGGGGGATTTTTGGGCGAAGAATGCAAAGAACGAAAAACAAGAATACCCCCAAATGGGCAAACATAGTCTAAACATCGTCCCCAGACTATTGGTTTTACTGTTTTTGAAGTTTCCCCCTGCTACCACGAAGTGTTCTTAGAACCCGAAAGTGCTCTGAGAACAAGAACAATGCTCTTAGAGCAAGTTGCCGATGTGTGACAACAGGACAGTCCGGGCCAGAACTGTTCTGAGAACATGTCGTGGAAACCACAACAAGTTCTTAGAGCATTGCTTGGTAGGCCTGTAGGTAAACCAAGACGCTTCGCCACTGCTCGAGTCCAGGGCAACTCTGGCTTGGGCCCTCGCGGCAAGACTCCTTGTCCTCCTTATCCTCCTCCTTGAGGATGGGGAGGAGGAGGAGAAGTGGAGAAGAGGAGGAGGAGGAGGAGGAGGAGGAGGAGGAGGAGGAGGAGGAGGAGGGAGGAGGGAGGAGGGAGGAGGGAGGAGGGGAGGAGGAGGAGGAGGAGGAGGGAGGAGGGAGGAGGGAGGAGGGAGGAGGGAGGGTGGAGGAGGACGAGATGGAGGTCTCCTCCGTCTCCACGTTGTAATAGTACTCGCGGCCCTCGCCGTCCGCCGCCGTGCACCACCTCTTCAGCCCGCTGGCCGCCTCGCCCTCCCAGGACGCGCCCACCTCCCGCGCGGACCGCTGGCGCTGCTCCGGCGGCAGGGCCAGGAGGGGCCGCGACACACTGGCGATGCCAGAGGAAGAAAAAAACGCACAGCGACATGAACGTTCGACGCTCCGCGCGGATTCCTTGGCTTTGCGCTGGGTCCCCCCTCCCTGGCGCGCGGAGCGCGCCAGGGGCGGCGCCGGAGGCGCCGCCGGGGGGGGGGGCCCAGGCGCGGACCCAGGGAACCCACGCGGAGCGCCCAGAGGTTTATGTTTCGATGGTATCTTCTTCTTCGGGATGTCGTGCAGGGCCTGCTCCAGCGGGTGGCGCCGGCTACTCCTCCCGCTGGGCACGTGGACAAAGTACACGCGGCCCTTCGCGTCGCGGTCCAGCGCCCAGGGCCGCACCAGGGGCGCGGCCGCCAGGGCCGCGTCAAGGACCTCGGCCAGGCCCGCCTCGCCGGGGCCCTCCTTAGTTTATGTTGCTCCCATCGTACTGAAAGACCACATCCCAGAAGTAATTTCGAGCACCCGGAAAAGTGTCGAAACGGTGTCGAAACAGTGTCGGACGAGTGTCTCCCAGGGCCCGGCACGTGAAAACCTTAGAGTTTCGGCACTGCTAGTGCTCGACATTCTTTCTGGTGGTCAAGGCTAAAGCAGGTTGGAACATCATAATCCTTGGCGATCTCGAGGGGCTCCAGGTAGGCTCTACGCTCCGCCTCCGTCCACGGCGTCCTGGCCGCCTCGACGCCCACGCTCAGCACCTTCGCCGGGCCGGCGCCTGGGTCCAACTCCTTGCCCTGCGGCTGGCTGGGCTCAGGTCGGGCATGTCCCCCTATACAGGCGGCTGTTGGACGAAAATCAAAAAATCACCCAACAAGAATCAGAAATGATTCAAAAATGCGCAAAACAGATCGTCCCCATACTATTTCGACTGACTATCTTGGAATCTCCTCCTGCAGAGGGACAGGCCCGACTTCAGGCTGGGCTCCCTGCTCGGCCGGCGAGCGGGGCCGCTGCCGCTCTCGCGGCCTCTCTCCTTCCTCTCGGGGGCGACCACGGCCGCGCCGAGCCCGAAGCACACCATGACGGCGCGTCGCCCACAGCTCTGCGGACGGCGCGAATTCACGGGGGGGTGATAAATGGGGGGGGGGAAGAAGGGTGTCCTCCCTTTTCGAGCCCTCAAGGTCCCCTTCTGGGCCCTGAGGGGCTCCTGTAGGGGCCCCAACAGGCGGCCCCTTTTCGGCAGCCCTCGCCGCCCCTCCATTTATCGCAGCCCAAACCAGGTGGCGGCGCTCTACGCCAGCTCGGGGGAGGCACGCTTCAGCCCAACTGGCTACGGCACCTTGTCAGGGCCTTCTAGGAACGCTCTGAGAGAGCGTCCTGGCACTCTCTGGACATAGAAGGAGCGAAAGCGCCATAAACAGACTCTTCTGGCGCTCCGCGCGGATTTCTCGAATCCGCGCTGGACCCCCCCTCCCTGGCGCGCTCCGCGCGCCAGGGGCGGCGCCGGAGGCGCCGCCATGGGGGCCCAGCGCGGATCCAAGAAATCTGCTATGTATATATATATATACACACATAAAAACATATATATATATATATATATATATATATATGTACGTGTACGTGTACGTGTACGTGTACGTGTATGTGTATGTGTATGTGTATGTGTATGTGTATGTGTATGTGAATGTGAATGTGTATGTGTATGTGTATGTGTGTGTTTTCTTCGAGCCCTGGGCCCGGCTCGGGGAAGGCAAGCTTCAGCCCAAATGTCCACGCAGCCTCTTCTCGGGGCCTTCTTGGAGCGCCCTGTGAGGACGCCCTTGCACGCCCTGGAGCGGGATTTTCGTCCTCGTCCCGGCGGCCCCGTCGCCGATGCTTGCTTGATCTTTTGGGGACCTCCCTGCGGAGCCGCCCGCCGCTGCGGCCGGAGGATCCGCCTCTGCTTAAGTCCGGCCTGTCCTCCTACAGAGGATTTTGGACGAAAAATAAGAATTACCCCAGACAGACTCCAAGAATACTCACACATACCCCAAAAGATCGCCCCTAGAGTCTCAACTAACTGTATAGGGAACATAGTGGGGGAACTGGGGGGAACTCACACATGAATCCCCCCAACTGAGATGTGGGAAATCGTTCCAACAAATACGACTATCTTTGAGTGTTCCTCCTGTAGAGGGACAGATTTAAGCCTGTCCTCCTACAGGGGGATTTTGGACGAAAAATAAGAATTACCCTAGACATACTCCCAAAATGCTCACACATACCCCCAAAAGATCGCCCCTAGAGTCTCAACAAACTGTACAGGGAACATAATAGGGGGAACTGGGGGGAACTCACAGATTGGTCCCCCCAACTGAGATTCGTGGGAAATCGTCCACATCTCGACGATTTATGAATGTTCCTAGGGAAACGAAAAATAACATAAACATAAAAACTCTGAGGTCCGCGCGGATTTCTCGGATCGGCGCAGGACCCCCCTCCCTGGCGCGCGGAGCGCGCCAGGGGCGGCGCCGGAGGCGCCGCTGGGGGGCCCCAACGTAGATCCGAGAAATCCGCGCGGACCTCCGAGTTTTCATTTTTATGCCACTTTTTGTTCCCCCAGGAACATTCCACTTTTTGTAATTTTTTATGCCACTTTTGTATGTTTATGCCACTTGTTGTTCCTCCAGTTCCTCCTGTGGAGAGACAGCTTGAAGCCTCGGCGCGCGGCCCGGAAGATCGCCCGCTAGGCGGGAGGGGCCGGGGGGCCTCTCTCCTCGGGGCCTGCCGGGGGTGGGGGGGCACCTGGTCGCCACGGCCCGAGATCCGCCGCGAGGCTCGGGCGTTCACCAAGGGGTGGGGGGGGCGATAGATTCAGGTCGGGCGTGTCCCCCTACATTTCGGAATGGAAAAACCCCCCTACCCTGGGTTACAAGTCCGTGGTCAGTAAACCTCCTGGGAACTCCCACTGGCCAGAGAGCCGCCAGGACGCCGCGCGGCACGCGCGATACGCAGGGATTACCCTGTCAGCCCACAGGAGGTTCAGCGCACATCGCCTCATAAACCAGGGTAGGGGCGTTTTTTACGCCCTTGACTACAGGGGGATTTTGGACGAAACATAAGAAGAACATAACATTATCAGAAACCGTCTCCAGACGAGCTTTACACCATTTTAGCACACACACACATACACACACATATACATATATATATATATATATATATGTGTGTGTGCGTGTGTGTGTGTATTCCCCCTGTGAGAGGCGCGGGCCCGACTGAACGATAGATGTGGGGGGTAAGAAGGGTGCACCTCTCTCGTGCACATTTCGTGCCCCTTCGGGGCCCCATATGGGGGCTCGTCTGGGGCCCCTTCAGGGCCCCTTTCGTGCAGCCCTCGACGCCCCCCCCCATGTATCGCCCCCCAATTCCCGAACGCCAAGCGTCGGGCTGGGCCCCGGGCGGGGTCCGCTGGGCCGGCTTGGAGCCGAGCTGGGCGGGAGAGCTGCCGGTGCCTCCACTGGCCTATGCCTACCAGGCCACCCCGGCCCGACCCGAAGATCCGACATCTGGGCTGGGGGTGGGGGCTTGTTCTTCATACGTGTATACATATATATATATATATATATGTATATACACATGTGTGTGTGTTTTGTTCCATGCTCCCAGGCCCCCCCCACTGGAAATGGAGGGCCGATCGGGGCCTTCGGGTTGGGTTGGGTTATGTTGATCCCATCGTGCTTAAGGACCACATCCCAACAATAACTTCGAGCACACGGGAAAGTGTCGAAAGAGTGTCGAAAGAGTGCCGAAACACTGTCGGACGAGTGTCTCCCAAGGCCCAACATGTGAAAACCCTCGAGTTTCCGTATGTTGCCTGGTGCTCGAAATTCTTTCTGGTGGTCAAGGATAAATGGGTTGGAACATCAGAAGCCTTCGGGTTGAGTTGGGGTGGTTTGGTGATCGACCAGAGGGGTCAGATAGCATCGGTGGCTTATTTTCCACTCGGCTGCAAAAGCGTCACGGATGCAAGGCCCCACCCTGCAAGCCCGTGTGGGGCAGCCGTCGGATGCGTTCGCAGCTCTGCTGGCACACTTGCGCCAAGTGCGCATGGAAAGCGGCACTGCGCATACCCCTGTACGCCCAAGATCAGTCGATCCCCTCGGGGCCACCCAGCGTATCAGACCTTTCCCCAAAAATCTTCCCTTCACCAACAATAGGATAGTGGACTTGACAGGGGGGTGGGTGGAGGGGGCAAGAGTAAGAGGCCTCCAGGTCGGCACAAGAGATCTCCGAGATAGTGCAGGAAATCCCAAGAAGTCTGAAACAGAACATGAGAGAACTCCAGAGAAGCCCAACGAGGGTCCAGAAGAGGCCCCAGACGGCCAGCATCAAGGAACATGAGATGTGCATCATGTGTCTGCTGGAAATGCTCTCGAGCCAAGATGGCCCCAGACAGTCCAAGAAGGTCCTGATAGTACCCCAAGTTGCCCCAAGAGTCCTTGCATCACACTCACCCACCCACACCTTCTCTCTCTGTCTCTCTCTTTCTATCCCTCCCTCCCTTTCTATTGGTGTTTCTCTCTGCCTCTCTCTCTATCGTTCCCCACCTCTTGTTGTTCTCTCGCTCTCTCTCTGTCATTATGTCTCTCTTTCTCCTCTCCACACTTTCCTCCTTTTCCCCCTCCTCCCGTTTTTACGTACCCATGTTCACCATCGTTCCCCTCCCGTCCCTGATCACGTTCCTCAACCAACGCCTGCGCAGTCCGAGCGCAGTCGGTGGATGTGGCGCAAGCCTGATGAGTCTGGGCTCTTACCTCTGCAGGCCTCACGGTCTCACTCGTCAATCTTCGGCGCCAGGTAGAACTGCAGGTGCCCATTGTCCGCGTTCTCGAGGTTGTACCTCACGAGAAGGGGTGCGTCTGGGCCAAGGCCGAGCTCCACCGTTCCGCACAGCGGCGCAGCCTTCGCGAAATTGACCAGGTAACGCAGTGCGAAGGTGGCAGTGACCGGCTCGTGAACGGTGAGGCTCACCTTGTCCTCGGGCTTCTCCGCCTCACGCGGCTTCAGCATGACGTTGCCAGAGCCCATGTCGCCCTGCACGCTGAAGGTGATGCCCTCCTTGGTGGCCTTCAGCTGCATCGTCTCCCCGAACTCCTTGAGGTCGCGGCAGATCTTCTGAAACTCAGCAGAGGGCAGCTTTGCCACAACCTTGTAGTGCTGCTCAGGAACCTCCATGTGCTCGCTCTCTATCTGCATCAACTTCAGGTCGAAATCGGCGATCCGGTCGTCCTCACCACTTTCGCACTGGAAGCTCACGAGGTCTGCATCGTTTTGCCAGCGCAGCTTCAGCGAGTCGTTCTGCCCACACATCTTCAGGATCTTGCCCAACGAGTCTACGTTCATGCCAAGCGAAGTCGGCCTGTCGCACTTAAAGTCCGAGAACGCGGACTCCCGCAGAAGCAGCGAGACTAGGGCCACATGCGAGCTATCCATGGACTGCACCTGAAGACCCTTCTCCGAGCAGTCGAAGTTCACGTCTTTGCAAAGGTCCTTCATGGCGTCCACCACCTTCTTCAGCAACATGGCCTGCTGCAACTGAGCCTCCAACACCATTGCGAGGACGGGAGAGGCGCGCTGAGACCAGTAGCAGGAAGGTGACGCTCGAGCCCTGAGAAGCAGCAGGGGCAAGAAGCATAGCGGCACTCAGAGCAGTAGGTGGTGTGAGGGAGCCTGCAGACTCGAGACGGGCTCGTAGTAAAGCTTGACGGTATGGGGGAGGAGGAGTTCTAAGAGGGAGGCAGACGACGAGCACGAGAGGAGCTGAGAGGAGAGGGGGCAACAGGAGAACGAGCAGGACGGCACGTGCTCAGCAGGAGCACGGCGAGAGCACGACGAGGAGCACCAGGAGCACCAGGAGCACCAGGAGCAGGTGCAAGACTGGCCATCGCTCGGACGTTCATTCCCCGTGTTTTTTCCGGTTTCGTGCGTGGCTTTTTCGCCAGATGGTCGAGGATGCTCCTCGAACGTCCTCGCCGAGAAACAAAATGCACACGTCCGAGCGATGCCAGGAAGAGCAGCAGCACTGGCTCAGGGAGGAGGGAGGCACAGCAGCAGGAGCAGCAGCAGCAGCAGCCCGAGGCGGTGAAGCAGGCACCCGCGGCAGGCTGCTTGCCGATCGGCGTGCGGCCTCTGGCCGTCCAGCACCGCGCGGATCCTTCACCTCTGGACGATCGCGGCTTTCCGACACCGGCTTTCCGACACGAGGACGGGGAGGAGGAGGAGGAGGAGGAGGAGGAGGAGGAGGAGGAGGAGGAGGAGAAAGAGGAGGAGAGGGAGGAGGAGGAGGAGGGAGGAGGAGGAGGAGGAGGAGGAGGATAGGGAGGAGGAGGAGGAGCAGGAGGAGGAGCCGCGCTGAGGGTGCAGCGCCCTTGGACGCCAGGAGTACTCGAAGCCCAGGCTGCAGGCCCACGACACACAGCCTTCGCCAGGAGGGCCAGGAGGGGCCAATTGGGCGAGAGCGCATGGGCAGTGTTCGGTGGGGCTCGAAGACGGGGTCCCGCGGGATGGTCTCCTGAGAATAGGAGGGGATCGACGGGTGGATTTGTTTCAGGCACCTCGTCCTTAAGATATCATCCCTCAGGAACCCATAGAGGCCTTCTTAATGGGGTCCGAGTAGACGGGGTCGGAGGATGGCGCCGCATCGCCGATGCATCTGCGATGCATCGGTCATGCACCGGCGACGTCGGCGATGCATCGGCGACACCAGCGCGGAGAAAATGAAGCTCCGCATGAAGCCGCATCGGCGATGCATCGCCGATGCATCGGCGACGCGGCGCGATCCTCCGACCCCCTCTGCTCGGACCCCATTTGGGAGGCCTAGGACCCCATCTCTGAACCAACGACTGTTGCGGCTTGGCTGCCGCGCAGATCTTTGGAATCCCGAAATGGTGCGGGGACAGACCGTGCGGTGACCTCGAAATCCCCCAAGACCTCACCGCACGCTCCGTCCGCGCACGGTCCTGGGACCTCGGAGGCCCCCGTCGCAGAACGACCCGAGTCCCAAAACCGTGCGGTGACCCCGAAGCCCCACTGACTCACCACACGGTGTGGTCACCATCTCGTTTGGGGGCCCCCGAAACTCGTTCGCCGGGCGATGAGAGGCCACCACCGGTGGCGCTCCGCCTCGGACGCCCGCAACCGCGGCCGCGAGCCTGCCGCACCTGCGCACTAGGTCGGGTGTGTCCCCCCACAGGCGGATTTTGGGCGAAAAATGGCAAATATTCGTGTATATATGCATATATCTATATATGTATGTGAAAAAAACCAGCAATAATCAAACAAATACGAGAAAATCGTCCCCAAACTATTTTTTGACTATTTCTGAATATCTCTCCCGTAGAAGGGCAGGCCCGACGGAACACAACCGGTGGCGCTCCGCCTCGGCCGCCCGCAAGGCGGCCGCGAGCCTGCCGCGCCCGCCGCCGCCCGGGGGTGCGGTGCCCGCTCGGAGGCGCGGCCCCCTCGAGGCTCAAGGCGCTGCCCCCCCCGCCCGAGCAGGCGCCGACCCACTCACGCAGGGGGCGGAGGACATTGGGCGAAATGGGGAGGGGGGAAGGGAGGGGTCCCCAAAATGAGCAAAAACTGCACCAGAATGGTCAAAAATAGTAGGAAGATCGTCCCCAGAGTTTTTGTTTACTATGTATGGACGTCCGGGGCGTTCGCTCTTGCAGGGAGCGGAGGACGGTACGAGAGCGTTATCTCTATTCGGCGTTTGGGCATTGGGCGGACGGGGGGGGGAAGGAGGGGGGCCCCCAAATAAGCAAGAAATGCGCCAAAAGAGTCAAAGCTAGTACAGTAGGAAGATCGTCTCTAGACTATTTTTTACAATGTTTGAATATTCCCCCTGTAGAGGGACGCGCCCGACCGACTTAACATTGCGTCCTCTGGGGGGGAAGTGGGGAGGGGGGGTGGGGGGGCCCGCGACGATCGGCACATCAATGAATAACAAAAACGATCACTATGAGATAAACTGTTCTGCCGTCGGGGAAGCCTGTTCCCTCGGCGGCTGGAAAATTGTTACCCTAACGTGCCACGTAGAGGTATGAACTTTCCGACCGCCCGGGGGACAGGCGTTCACGACGGCGAACAAGTTTATGCTTTACCGTTCTTCGCCCGATAACACTTCCCACCCATGCAGTCGAAGTGGGCTCTGGGCAGTGGCGGAAAAAAACCCTCCTGCTCCGATGATTCCGACGCTGCGAAACATAGATGCAACATCGCGGCAATCATGACCGGGGCCCTAGATCCCGTCTGTTGTTTTTTTTTCGGGCCGCATCGATCTGTGATGGTCCCAGGACCCGAAATCAGGTGAACTTGCGCGTTGTGAATGAGTTGCGATGCCAGCATCGCAGGGTCTCCTATCCTCATCCTCGTCCTCCTCACTCCTCAAGTCTCCTCCTCCTCCTTCTCCTCACTTCTCCTTCTCACTCCTCACTCGTCACTCCTCCTCCTCCTCCTCCTCCTCCTCCTTCTCACTCCTCACCTCTCACTCCTCCGCCTCATCCTCACTCCTCACATCCTCCTCGTCCTCCTCCTCCGCCTCACCTCCTCTTCCTCGTCCTGATTCTCCTCCTCACCCATATTACTCCTCCTCGTCCTTCTCTTCGCATCTTCTCGCCATCGGCCTCCTCCTCCAACTCCCTCCCTTCCTCTCACCTCGCTCCATCGTCACCCAACCCTCGATCCTTCGCTTCTGAGAACGGAACGCGAGGTCGAGCGCCAGAGAGGACAACGACCATGTGCGAAAAATCTATCCGTATCCACGGCCTCGCGGGCTGGGCCCCTGGGCCGCGACCCCGCCACTACGGGGCGTATCCGTGCGACCGCGTATTCGTGGGATCGCGCCCTGGAATCCACACCATAATCCGGACCGCGAGGGCGCGGAGGAGGCGGAGGAGGTCGGGGATGATGATGATGATGATGATGATGATGAGGAGGAGGAGGAGGAGGAGGAGGAGGAGGAGGAGGAGGGGGAGGAGGAGGAGGAAAAAAATGAGGATGAGGATGAGGATGAGGATCCCCGCACGCTGCGCAAGTGAGCAGTCGTCTCAGGGCGAACGCGCGGCGCGCGCCCGCGGCGGCCCGTAAGGCGGGACAGGCCTACGCGGGCGGGCCGTGCGACGCTCTCAGGCGGCCTCGTTCAACGAGGGCACCCGGGCGGCCAAGGGAGGCCGCAGCAGCGCCGCAGGTCGGCCTTCGAAGAAGGAGGGAGGAGAGAGGGAGGGGGCCGAGAAGCTGCAGACGACTGCAATCAGCGGGCGCGATGGGGATAAGAAGAAGCATCCCCGCACGCTGCGCAAGTGAGCAGTCGTCTCAGGGCGAACGCGCGGCGCGCGCCCGCGGCGGCCCGTAAGGCGGGACAGGCCTACGCGGGCGGGCCGTGCGACGCTCTCAGGCGGCCTCGTTCAACGAGGGCACCCGGGCGGCCAAGGGAGGCCGCAGCAGCCACACCCAGGCTCAAAGCCCTTGCGAAGTGACAAGGTTTCGGCGGGCGGCCGCGAGCTGAATGGGCCACGCAGCCGGGCCAACATTCAGAAAGGATGCGACGAGGAAGTCGCTGGAGTCGGCGAGGTAAGAAACACGGTCCCGAGCAGCTTCAGCCAATGATGGGAGGACAGCAGAGGCGGCAACATCGTAAAGATATCGCTCCGTACTGGAAGCTTGCCGCCAGCGATCACGCCAGAACACGCGAGTAATGCCGTCCGAAATATCGGTTCTGAAGCGCAGCGCAGGGGACAGATCGAACCCCGATGGCGCTCTGGCGAGCGGGACGCCCAGCGCCGAAAGAAGATCGAGCCACCGAGTACGGAAGCCGCTTTGACCGAAGGTCAACAGGGGATCGGTGGGAGTCAAATCTCTGAAGACCAGCTCCATCATCCTGACCACTGCTCGGTCGGAGCACCGAGCGTGTTGACGCTCTCCGCCCGACCCCTGGGCCTCCGGAACAGAGATGCTCAGCAAAGCGTCGCCCGCGGACTCACGGCGGTCAATGGGCAGAGTGAGGTCGCTCCGGCGGGCGGTTGCCAACTCACCAGGCCTCACGGACATAGTGAACACGGCAAGCAGCAGGGTGGCCATATCAGGCCAGTCCCATGCGAGGCACAACGCTACCATGGCGCGCAGCAAAGCACGTGGCAGCGGTGGGATGGGACAGGGAGGCTTGGAAGGGATCCACCGTTTTGCCACATCCCACGCCTCGGTGAGGACGCCCCTCCACTGGGGCTGAAGAGCCTGCGCTCCCCGGATCGCATTCACAAGGACGAGGCGGGGGAGGCCAGCATCGTACAACCACGCGCCGAAGGTCGCGAGCGCTCTCCCGAGCAAGATGCCGCTGCGGGCCCAAGTGGCAAGTGCCACACCTGTGTGCTCGACGCACCACACGTCAAACGCTTTAAGCGAACGAGTGCGCTGGTCGTCGCAAGAGGGGACGAGCCGACAGTGGCTGTCCACCTGCACCCCGAGGGCCTCGGAAGCCCCCTCGGGAAACGCAGGCGACAGAGAGGCAGGCCACTCCTGGCGCCCTGCCACGAAGGCTGGCGCGGGCGGCTCGCGAC